TCTCTCTCTCTCTCTCTCTCCCCCTCTCCCTCTCCCTCTCTCTCTCTTTCTTTCTCTCTCTCTATCCCCCTATCCAAACTCAGCTAGCCCCTTTCAATCGGAAGTACTGGATGTAAAATATATCTGTGGCACTCTATCTACACAAACAGACAGCACCGTTGGCTTTGTCGTCGCCAAATAATAATTATAACGTAGTCAAAAAATGCAGAAAGGCCTGTAAATAACTGGTAGGGCAGATCAATTTGTCGATAATCTGAGTTGGCTATCTAGTCTCTAGACGAATTCCTGGCGGTTTTAATGTCATGTTCCCTAGGAACAATCAAAGAAAGATTCATACACATTTCGAGCAAATGATATCGAAGCAGATATGACCCAAGTAGGATAAAACGAGAACTTGGATTTAATAAATAGTTCCCAGGAAAGTATATAAAGACTTACAGCATCTATATTGGGGCATTGACCATTTAGAAAACATGCGCCGCTAAAATTGGACCTGTCATATAACAATTTTTTCATAATGGGAGGGAATAATAAAACTGTTTTCTCCTTTATCTCTGTGAATGCTCAACTCTATCGTAGACCGGACATAGGACACTTTGTAACCGCTGAAGAGATTTTTGGAAGAGCTCCTCATACAATTTGTGGTTTTGCGTCTTGATGTTTTTCCAACAAATGGAGGGACCTCCAGTTTATACTAAGCCGCCTCCGAACGGCGGATGCTTGTTTATGAGGAGCTTTATTTCAAGCAATAGTATAAACAGTTGGAAAGACGGGCTTGGGTAAACCAACTCAGCTCGTCATTCTGATCACATAGGTATAAATTTCGATGTGTCTACCCCTTCTTCTTCTGGTAGTCTCATATATTCTTCGGGCCAAAGTTACCATTTCATGTTCATGGTAAGGTTCAGGGCATATGTTATGAAGATTTTTTGTTAAAATACTTTCCATAAATGATTCCCCTTAAAAGATTTGTTGCTTAAGCGTACGTAGCGTAGTCTTGTTGAAAGCAAACGTTGTCTAGATCAATACCATTCAATTTGGACCATAAAAAATTCATTCATATTCGAGGAAGTAAGGTCCAATGACCCCGCCGGATCATAAATAGCACCAAACAGAACAAGTTGAAGATGGAGAAGGTTTTCAACAATAAATCTTGGGTTTCCCGAGCCCCATATGCGACAGTTTTGCTTGTTGACGTAGCCATCGAGGTGGGAATGGGGCTCATAAGTTAAGATGATTTTTCGATGAAATTCTTGTAGTAAATTTTAACGATTTCAATGCGTTGTTGAAGTGTGTATCATTCTAATTCTAATACTGGCGTAATTTTTACTTTTTAAATCTCAAAAAATTACAACTTCAAAAGTGACATCTGCCGGAATAGCAGGCTATTTAAAATAACAGCTCTTATTGGAAAACCCTTTACACTTAAAGCAGCGAATACATAACCAAAGCAGGGAATGTCAACTCCTACGAGTTTATTTCTGGCATGAAAATCAAAGCTCCTCATAAAAAACCGTCAGCCGTTCGGAGGCGGCTTAGTATAAACAGTAGGTCCCTCCATCTGTTGGAAAAACATCAAGACGCAAAACCAAAAATTGGAAGAGGAGCTCGGCCGAAAGCCGCTTCAGCGCCTACAAAGTGACAATTATATATATGTATGTATGCAATATAAATATATATATGTATTTATAAGGAAAGACTTATCGATCTAAATGCCTCAGTCTCGTCTCGCATTTGTACGAGTATGTAAATCAAAGTATACATATATATACTACACTGCTAAGGAGCTTATCACATAGAAATTACACACATATTAAATATAATATATAAAATATTTTAAAAATATATGTACATATATAACATTTGTATACATTTGTATAAATAGGGCAAAAGGTTGATAAATTATGATTTCATTCGGTGTTGAATGTTTTGATGTTTTGCGGCTAACGACAAATTGTTTTTTATTAATTTACTCTTTTTTCGCAAACGAAAACAATGTGGAATTTACAAAAATATTACATGATTGCATATTATATAATTTCATTTAATTGATAAAAAATGTAGAAGTTGAAGTGTGTAATTGCATAAGTTCAGTAAAATTTATTTTATTTCATGCAGCGCATGTCAGCATTGACCAGAAATGAAAATGGAAATATACAGTAAATGAGTTGACAACTAGCTGTAATCTACAGCTGATTATTCTGATATTTAACCAAGTAACCTTATAGTACCAGGATATATAGAAAAAAATTAATCTTGTTTTTGTTAACCGTCTCTTCGGTTAAATTTCACTATTCCACAAAATGTCGGAAAGACATAAACAACATTGGATTCCACGACAATTGAGCAAAAGCACCAAGTGAGCTCCGACCATTCTCCATCCGATCCCTCCACCGGGGTGCAGTTGTTCCTTCGCTCTCCACTTCCCCAGCAGGTACTGAATCGTCTACTTTCAAAGTTGGCCCGTTTTCGACCATCCGAACGACTTGGCCTAGGCAGTGGAGCCGCCGAATGAAGAGACATTCGTGGAACTATACCAATGGCGTCGTATAGCTCAATGCAGTTCATTATTTAATTTTTTGCAGTATTCGACGTCGCCTGTACCCAGAGAACCCTGAATCGGTTGCGAAACTTTTTTCACGAACACTCCCAGAGCCACCTCATCGGATGTTTTCAACATTCACGCTTTTGCGCCATAAAGTGGGACGGGGGTAATAAGTTACTTGTAGAATTTGGTTTTGGTGCGTTGAGAGAGGTTCTTATTTTTTAACGAAGTAACACACGTTGTCAAGTGTGATTCTTAGTTGGATTTCAAGGCTCATGTTGTCGTTGGTTTTAAAACTGGTTCAAAGATAGAAAAAATTATCTACGGCCGCGTAGTTATGGCTGTCAACAGTTACGTGGGAGCTAAGAAGTGAGCCTTCTCCTCATTCACTACCATACCCACTCGCTTCCTTGTGCAGAAAACAGAAACGGAACTTACGGCACGGTTGTTAAGACCAATGCGCCAGCAGCTGCATACTCTTATAGGAGAGTTCCTTCCCAATTCTGACAGATCTTTTGGTGTTGCCTTGTGTCTGTTTGCATAGCCCGTAGGGATAACAAATTCAGACATAGCTTCGTAGCTGTCAAATAGTGCTTTAGGTTTGACAAAGACTTGATGTGTGTCGATCTTTATACCACTGGGTTTTTCCCAGATTTAGCACACTAATTGACTGTGTGCAATATTCTTTCGCACCACACGTTTTACATGACATAATATGCGATATTGCAGAGGCTTATCCCACTCACTCGGGCCTACTTTCATTCCACCAAATTCTCCAAAAAGTCGGATGTATGTACTACTAGAGTGTCATTTGCAGCGGTACGTAGTGAATTTGAAATATCGCCCCACAGTTCTATTATACCGAGTTGCTGATGAGCGCTCTCATAGAGCAGGATCACTTCTCGAGTAGAGTAGCTTCAATTTCGACCCTTCTTTGGGTCTGTTGACAGGTGCTCCTTGCCGCGAAAAGGCGGATGTGCTTTTTTGCTTCGAAACGATGTTGGATCCTCGAAACGTACGCACATCAATAACACAGAAGATATGCATTTCTACTTGGGTACTTCGTTCTAAAAATTGAGTGATTCAGTATGTGTTTGGGGTACAAAAAACTTCCTTTATTTTTATTACTTACTTTTCTATTAAAAAATAGTAGTAAGAAATGCAGTTGCCTAACTATGGAAAATAAATCTATATTAATTCGAAAGAATTTCTGAAATTATTAGAGGAAAATATTCATAACTTCGCAAGTGACGTCACAATTACAATTAGTTTATACCATAAACCAATATTTTTAAGAAGGAAAATAAAAAAATGATAATTGGATTTTTGGCAGATTTGTTTTTTAAGAACATTCCAATTTTTTGTTAAATTTTCTAAGCATTTTTTTCAAATAGTTTGTATTAAAAAGTAAATGAAAATTCATCCTGTTGAGTAGTTTTCCGGAACTTTTGACAACCGACATTGAAAACACAGTTCTGGGAAAAACGATTTTAAAGCTCAAAACGCTGGGCCTGCCAGGCTCTGAGCGCGCACCTTCCCAAGGCTGTACTCCGAAACCTTTAGTTGGGCCAACGACGTCGAAATTGAGAAAAATATGAAGTTTTATAGTAAGAAGTGTTATTTTATTTAGCCTGCTATTCCGGTGAATGCGACTTTTGTAGCTTAACTTTGACATTTGACAAGTAAAAAGTAAAAAAAAAAAAAAAAATACACGCTTTAACAACGCATTGAAATCGTTAAAATTTACTACAAAAATTTCATGGAAAAATCATGTTAACTATCGCATGTGAGGCTCGGAAAAGACAAGATTTATTGCTGAAAACCCTCTCCATCCTCAACTTGTTCTGTTTGGTGCGATTTATGGTACGGCGGGTCATTGGACTTTGATTTTTCGAATATGAATGAATTTTTTATGGTCCAAATTGGATGGTATTTATTTAGACAAACTTTACTTTCAACTAGACGTGCCACATAATAAATATTCCTGAGATATTATAGTAATAAAAAAAAATTTTTTTGAAGCTGCGAAACCGTTGCAACCCTTTAGGGGATTTGAAAAATTGCGTCTCTCAGATTTAACTAAAAAACAATGAACTTTTAAATAATTATTATTTGATTCAAAGTGCAGTTATATGTACATATATATTTCTAAAAGTGCATTGAAAAGTTCTAGATTTTGTTTGTTGTTATAAAAAAAAAAAACTGATAACTGCAGTTCTGCCTTTCGGTATATATACTATTTATATATATGTTTGTATGCATACTTGTGCATTTTTGTGTGCCAGCTTTGTATTATCGCCCAAGTTTTATTCAATAAATCAGAAAATGTATTTAATTAATTGATAATAATATATGTATATATATGTATATTCGTATGTGTATAGTGGACTACAACGTGGATTTAAATCACTAATTAAAAATCGTTAAAAAGTCTAATACAAAATAATCTACTTACGACTTTGACGCTTCTTCAAAAACTCCTTGGCAAGTACTGAGTTAAACGCACTGTAAAGCTTATGCTGGTACATACATATGTATGTACGAGTATGTATAAGCTCCTTTATGAAGTCACTTATTACTTAATTTTTTTTTTTTAATTTCAATATTTTTTTTTTACGAATTGATTTAAACCAATTTTTTTGCAAAAACACTTTGCATTTAAATGCTCACGAATTGAAAGTCTATTTCAAATTAGATTTACATATATCAACTTGAAAGATCTTAGACTCCGAGGATCTGAGCTGCGAACACAATCACGCTGCGGCGACAATAACACCGCTAACTCGAATGACTTTCCAGCACGAGGTTCCACAAGCGAATGGCTTTTGAGTTAAGCAGAGCGCCACAATGAAGAGCAGACGATCGATCGACGATCGTCTTCGCGGACAAAAAGATTACTTGCACCAGCTTGGCGAGCGGCACCAATATGTATATGCGTATGTGTGCTCAACGACGTTATTCGTTAATAAGATCGCAGGGGCCTCTGCATGCAAGGGAAGAGGAACTATGATGCAGGAAAATCTTTTTGATTAATTGTAGATGCACCAAATGCATATAGCGAAAGTCATGTACATACATATATACAGACATATATACATATGTATCTATATACTAGCAGTTGTTTTCTAGTGCGTGCAGATGTTAAAATTTTTGTGAGGGTGTAAGTGGGACGCGCAGGCTGGAGTACATACATACTTCTGTCTGTTTGTATGTATGTATGTATGTAAGCACACATCAGCTTTGTGCTGATCTTCATTGATCATTGGTGGGGGTATAATTCATAAAAATAGAGATACTGTTATTTTTATAAAGCCGCACGCATACTTGTGTACATACATACTTATACATATATACATTCATATGTATTTATGTATGCATATGCCCATAATCCATTTGTGATTAAGTAAAGTGCAATATGCATGTTGTCGGCATGCGCCTTCACGCCCTTGCCGCTTCCTGTTAAGTGTGTGTGCGGCTCACGCTTGAGGGACAAACAAAATAAATAAACAGGAGGATGTTGGAGTAAGTTTATGTATGTATGCGCCAAAAGGGTATACGTATAATACCGATCAGAAGATTAGCAACATACAAAGCTTGAGTTCTATTCGACGATACAGAATCACCTACAAATCTTTAAAGAATAACTCCGAAAGGGTCCGGAAAGTAGCCATATACTACCCGGACAGTCAAACGGCAGTGCTTGCGCTGAAGTCACCAAAGGTAAACTCCAGTATGGTAAGAAAACGTAGGAAAGATGTAAGTTCGCTGAGTTCTCGACACAAACACTCGAAAAAATGACGAATGGGTCAAATTGGGAATATCTCCTGACTTATTCGAAACGGGGTTAATATCTTCGCCACCGAGAACGATTAGAAAGGAACTTCAATGACAATTCGAACAAAGAGCTCAGTTCAGATGGAAACCCATAACGAACTCTGAAATACTGAAATATGACAGGTTAAGTACAGAGAACCAAGAAGGGAATATAAATGGACCTGCCGTAATAAAGCTAAACTTGCGAAATTGATGGGAGGAAGAAGACTGTTTTTGTTGTTGTAGCGGTTTGCCAATACCGCTTAGGAGCAGGCTAGATCAGTCAAAGTCTTCGAGGTTGTCTTAAAGAAAGATTTATTTTATTTCCAAAATGATTTCGTCCAAGTGACCGCAAGCTCAAATAAATTCTAGCCAAAAGTTTAATTTTCGACAACTTTTTGCAGCAATTGGGGCCGTATAATAACAATAACATCCCAAATATTCTCTTTCAAGGCGTCAAGCGGCTCGGGTTTATCTGCGTAGATAAGCAACTTGACAAAAATTGGCTCAAAAATTAAACAGCGAAGTTAAATCGCACGAACTAGGACGCCACGCACAGGCCCACGGTGCGAGATATTGCACTCAGCAAAAGTTTCCTTCAATAAATTGATCGCTTCGTTGGCTAGATGGCATGTAGCGCCGTCTTGTTGGAAACAAAGATCCTCCAAATCAACATTCTCCAATTGAGGCACGACAAAGTCATTAATCATGGCTCTATAGCATTCCCCATTTACTGTGCCAATATGACCGGCTTCAGTTTTCAAGAAATATGGACCACTTGCTCAAAAAGTGTTTTTTTGAGGATGTAGAGACGTCTTAAGTGTCGATTATCGTCACTCCAAAAGCGAGAATTTCATTTATTAACGTACCGATACAACCAAAAGTAAGTTTCCAAGCTGAGCAAAAATTTCTTGTAAAAATCGTAATCGGTGGCCATCGAGTTTTGGGCCCATTTGACGAACGTGCGCTTGATGGTTGTTCTTCTTCCAAATCTTGCGCGAGTTGGATTTTGTAAGCCCAACAAAACCAAAATTCGTATTCAGTTAAGTGAATGGGCACAGCTCCAATTATTGAGCGCTGTCGCGGATTGACTCATTCGGGTATTTTTCGATACTCTGCTCCACTGCAATAATAGCGTCTTCGGTGCGCACTGTACGATGTCTTTGAGGATACGCATCATCTACTAGTGTAAACGTGGACCGAAACCGACTCGGCTGGACGATCTGTCGAGCGAATACTGGACGTGCGCGAAGCATTATTTTGGCAAATTTAGCACGATAAACGTATTTCCCGAGTAAGTCTGGTCGTTTTGAAAAGTTAAACCAAACTGAGTGTAAATCAAGAATCAAGCAGCTAAAAATACCAACTCCGAAAAACCACACGTCTAAAAAAAGGTCAAAATCCCGAAACGCGTGTGGAAATTAACTGCTAAGAGACGTCATACCGAATGCATATGAATTTAAGTTGAGACATTTATTTCACGTCCACATAACTTTTGCAGTACGCCATGTTTCTAATATTTACCACATTACTGTACATATGTATGTGATCAGTGTAATGCTTGGTTCGTTGTAGCTGACCCAAGAGTATTTTCACACCATATTTCATATAAAACAGCGATATTATTGAGAAACCATCAATATTTTAATTTCAGTTCATTATTTCTCATTGGATACACATAGCAATGTTAGCAGGCACATTGCTTATACGAGGTGTGTTCAGCTCCTCCTCCGATGCCGTCGTCGCCCTTTCAAGGGCCTCTTCAGTTTAGGGAACAAGAAAAAGTCACAGGGGCCCAGATCTGGGGAATACGGTGGCTGCGGCATCAATAGTGTGTTGTTTTTGGCCAAAAAGTCGCGCATAAGCAACGATGTTGTGTGGCACGCTCTTCGTCGTTCACATCTTCTCGGCCTTCTGAGAACATTTTGTACCACCGAAAAACGTTGCTTCGGTCCAAGGTAGCTTCTCCGTATGCCACAGTCAACATTCGGAATGCATCCGCGCGCTTAATTTCGTTTTTCACACAAAAGCAAAGCAGCTGTCAACAATTAAGTGAACATGGCAAAATGGCCGAGCTTGTCGGCATAAGTGACAGGCATGAGTACCAACATAACGCCACAAAAAAATCGAAATTCGATTATACGTAACCCGCGAAAATTCAAAATTCGCGATATTTTTTGAACACACCTCGTATAACACTTTGTTGTACGTTCTAGATTTAGAAGAGATTTTGTATCTACTTCTAGTTTGTGACTTTCTCATCCCTCGGTAGAGACTTGGAGCTTTAATGGTTGACATCCGACTCAACTGGAAGAGTCGGTTTAACTCATGATCCTTCTTTAACTAATGTTTGGTACCACACGACTTTAGCTCTACCTTATTTTTTTTTTTTAATTTTTAATAACTTCGACTCGCTCATAAAATATGCATCAATTATACGAGTAATATAAATTCTAATTCGCTGCATTTTCCTTTTTGATTGCGTTTTGTTAATTAAATTTCATACAATTTCAGTGTTGAATTTCATAGGCGGAAGGGCATGCTTTCTTAGGTTAATGAAAAGCGTTTATTCTATATATCTCCACTCTCAATAAGTCCACGGTCAAACTGAAATACGGCACAACCGAAAATAAGCGTCTATTGTTTACAAAATGAAGCCAGGTCCTCCTCTACCTGCTTCAGTGGAGCCATTCCGACATATTCAGTTTAAGGCTTCGCTGAAGTCTAATTATAGCATCTGTTCACCAGGTTTCTGGTTCGCTATATAAATTGTACGCAAAATATAAATCTACTCTCCAAGTGAGGTTGTACGTTAGGTTTGGTACCCACCAGCCCCGTACGGGAGCTCCCACTTTTGATCACGACTCCTGTAGATTAAAGAAGAACACTAGGATAAAATATCCGATCCCTTAATTGGGAAGGAGCCGCCGTCCAGATGGGTGACGTCTTCGCAAGAAAAAAGGCTGACGCCACTGTCATTCAGGAAGTGCGGTGAACGAGAAAAGAACAGACACGAGTATAGATCATTGTGAAATTTACTGCAGTGGCGATATAAATACAAATTTATGTCGGATTCGTAATGGGAGAGAGACTGAGTCGCCAAGTTCTGACATTCACCCCGGTTGATGAAACTCTCGCCACAAAGCAAAGCAAGGTTCTTACACATATTGCTAATTTTCGCCAACATGCCGACGGAAAAAAGAAGACGATGTTGCCGTGGATGATTGTAGCAACTGTGTTATTGTTGTTGTTTTTGTAACGGCTGTCCAATCCCGCTTAGGATAAGATTAGACTAGATGTCATTTAACGGAAGGTTCAGGAAGAGCTGTCTCGAGGGAAACGGGGACTAGAATAGGAGTGGCATGCAAAGAGCTGGTTAGTTTCGTACGTGGCTCCTAGGATGCCGTTCATTGGAAGAGAGTTTAGCTCCTGGCTCTTATACGTGGTCCTTGTAATTGAGTATCCTCTTTCTGATGTGCATAGGTAGTGGGTCAGCTTCAAGATAATGTCTGTTGGCTTACTATACTTCTTAACGCGTAACATAGATTCTTCGCTGTGACAGCGATGCTACGGCGATAACATAAAGTGTCCTGTCACGGTATTAAGAGCGGTGTTATGGTAACCTTGCCGCTTCTTCGTCTGCGTTTCCCGAATTCTCTGTTCTGTACTTTTGTAGCAATCTTCAAACATCTCTAAATGAACTGAGGCTGATCGACTTCCTCGGGACCCGAAATACGGTTGTCTGTAGTATCAAATTACAGCGCAAGTCATTTTTTCTGGACATAATGCTTTGTAGGGTATAAGCTAACCCTTGTGAATACTTGTGTTTTTTTTTTTATCTACCGTGAACACATCCATCAAACAGCTGTTTATTATTATATTAAATTTTCAATTTAGTTTAGTAGCGGTATATTAAAAATTCGTGGCATTTATTTTTAATAAGTACTTGATTCGATACTTTTTCAATGGGAAAGCATAGAATATATAAAGTGCACTTGAAGATAAAAGTGAATGTGAATGTGTTTAAGTTCTTTTAACGCGAAAATGATTGTGGAATCGTAAGTTTTAGAACATAAGAAAGTATTACTACGTGGAAGAATATTGTATACGACTGCATAAACAACAAACAAAGCGCATAAGCAGCACAAAAACAAAAAAAAAAAAAGAAACATACATAGAAATTACATAGAGATGAGTATGGACGAGAAACTAAAGTATTCGCTGCTACGTGGAGAACTTGTTGACAGTCAAAGCGTTTGGACGCGGTACGTAAACATAAATTACAAATTTTTAAAATTATTTATTTCATTAAAAAAATATGCTATTTTATATAGACATGAAAAGCGTGTATGGTTCCTCACACTCATCACAGGCACTTTGATGCTATATTCCACACGCACATCTATGCCTTTACTTATACCCGCTGTTGCAGCAGAACAGAAATGGAGTAAAACTGACTCGGGTACCGTGTTAAGCTCATTCTTTTGGGGCTATACATTGACACAGGTGTTTACGAATACAAATAATTAAAAAATATACACATTACAAAAACACAAATTTACTAAATTATCTTTTTGTTTCCAGGTGGTGGGCGGGTACTTTAGTGATCGTTTTGGCGGACAACGTGTAATACTCTTTGCTGCCATCGGCTGGTCACTGATAACATTCTTTATGCCAAATATTATATGGAGCTCAAACGCGATTAAAGTATATTCCATTCCGTTTATCGTAACTATACGTATTATAAATGGCGCATTCCAAGGTGTGCACTTTCCAAGCATGATTAGTTTAACTAGCCAGGTGAGTGGGTGTTTAGATATGTTATGATATCATATTATGAGTTTTTGTCTTTCTTTTAGAATCTCTGCTCAAATGAGCGCACAAGCTTTTTCGGTTTACTTACAGCCGGCTCAGCTTTGGGTACGTTGCTCACAGGCAGTCTAGGTTCATTTGTTTTAGACTACTTCGGCTGGCCATACGTATTTCGCGTAATTGGCTTTCTGGGTATATCATGGGCGTTGATGTTGCGCTATTACACAATGGCTGGTGAGCGTGGTAGAATTATTAATGTATCAGCGCCGTCGCGATTATGTGCCAATAAACAAATATCTGACAATGTACCTTGGTTACGTTATTTTCGAAAACTTTCATTCTGGGCATGTGTACTTACTCACGCTTGTGAAATGAACTGCTTCTTTGTTCTACTTTCCTGGCTGCCAACTTATTTTCATGATGGCTTTCCACATGCCAAAGTATGGGTAGTCAATATGATACCATGGCTTGCCTTGCCGCCATGTACACTATTTGCACGGTTTTTGACCGGACGTCTATTGGCACGGGAATGGTCGACGTCAGCTGTGCGTAAGATTATACAAAGCTGTTGTTTTGCTTCACAAAACCTGGCACTATTTATTATGGCACGAACAAGTGATTTTCACACAGCCTTGATTTGCATGACCGTAATAATAGGTAAGTAAAATATAAGGAACTTGAGATGCAGACTTTAAATTTATTTTCTTATTTGCAGGTGGTACTGGTTTCCACAATAATGCAGTCACAGTAAATCCCCAAGATTTAGCGCCGTCTCACTCGGGTAGTGTTTTCGGCTTGATGAATACAGTGGGAGCAGTGCCAGGATTCTTAGGGGTTTATCTTGCTGGCCATATACTAGAGATCACACAAAGTTGGCCCATTGTATTTAGCACTGCAGCTGCTATTAATTTAGTTGGTTGGGTGATATTTGTGGTATTTGGTTCAGCTGAGGCTATTGTGTGATTTTTCGAATTTGAATTTCCGACACGTCGTTATCAAAGCATACACATTTTCCGACGCACTGACTATATATTATTATTATGAATATATATATTTGTACATATTTATAGTAGTATATAGACCCTCTGATGAAAAGCTCTAGTAGTTCCTTATAATGATTATTTAAATTTTCTTCAGATCTACAAGAATTGTGTAAGAAAAATAAGTTTAAGTAGTATATATTTAAAATATATACGCGTGATATGCTAACTTATAACTATAAGTAGAAGAAAACATGTTTGAAACATTATTTACACTTTATTTAAAATATATATAGCGGAAAGTAAGTGTTTTCGGTTGGCATTGACATTTTCAAAATAACAGTTAATCTATTTCATTCATGTTTACTCCTCATTAACCAACATTTTAGACATATACGGGCCATCCAATTCATAACCCAATTTGCGATAATAAGCGCGTGTGCCTACACCAGAGATGACTGCTAATTTGACGCTACCATGTTCCTCTCGTGCTATACGTTCTGCCTCTTCCATCAGAAGCATGCCGAAACCCTATAATAGACAAGAGTAAATATTAGTAAAAACTTACTCAGGAAATATTTATTATCGCACACCTGATGCTGAAATTTCGTTGGATCTCTTGCATTCACTGGAACTACGGAACCATATACATGCAACTCCCTCACAATCGAACACTGTCCCACCTTAGTAAGCTCATTTTGGAAAGTATCGGGCGAGCATTTACGCAAACGCAATAGGCCTACCAAAATGTCCTGCTCTGGATCTTCATATGACAAGAAAGTCTCCCACCCGCCATTGGCAAAGTAGTCACGTCGAATTAACTCGATTTCATATGGACGTATTTTATTGTGTATTTCTTGTATGCCGACTTCACGTGTGCGTACATCCCGACATTCGGTGCCCCAATCTTTCATGCGAGCAAGCGCTAGTTCACGCAAATTACCATGTTCAACACCCGAGCTGTAGAGTACAACATAAGAATTTCAATAAGTTTCTTTTTCGTAAATAAACGTTTAAATTACCTCACTAGTGGCATAGGTATATCACGCTGGACGCGATAAACACGCGTCCATGGCGGTACTAAAGCCAATATTTTTGCTACCAGATCGACAAGCATCGAAGGTGGGTACGACTTGTAGCGACCCGTCTTCCAGAGCTCGTATAGACCAGTGCCACGTATGACAAGTGTAGGGTAGATTTTCAAACCATCTGAACGGAAGGCTGGATTTTCAAAGTACTCCTAAATGTGAAAATGAATGTAAGCAAATAATCCTCACACTAGTATTTTAATAATAAGCTTACTATAAATTGCTCCAGATCACGCTCAAAGTCTACATTTGGTAAATCCGGCATCATGTGCGCTACAATCTTATAGCCAGAATCCTTTCCCAGTTTGAAACTCTCACATACTGCCTTTACAGTATGACCGCGGTTTGTATCGCGCGCTACATCTTCATAAACAGATTGTACACCGATTTCCAAACGTGTACAACCATAATTCAGCATATCGGTTATATGTCGTTTTAGACAATAATCAGGACGCGTTTCAATAGTGATTCCAATACACTTGGTATGTGATATTTCCGAATAGCGTACTGCTTCTTTAATGTCACGGCTAGTATGACCACTCAGAGCATCATGTAACTTCATTATAAAATCATTTCGATACTTTTCATCTAAACTCATAAATGTACCACCCATTACAATGAATTCAACTTTATCTACAGAGTGGCCCAATTGTTTCAACTGCTCGACACGGTGACGTGTTTGTAGATATGGATTGTAACGTGCACGTATAGCACGCATAGATGTTGGTTCGTAACCAGTATATGATTGCGTTGAATATTCGAAATCACTATCAGGTCCACCCGGACAGTAGACGCATATGTTACCTGTCATATTAATATGCGGACACCGATGTGGCTTACACATAACAGCTACTACTGCAATCTACAAGTAGGCGTTAATAAATAAATACGAAAAAAAATGAATGTTCTCTACATACACCACTGGCTGTGCGTATGGGCTTGGCTCGCAGTTTGGGTAGCAAAATTTTTTTCGCTTCCTGCGGCACAGCTGCTATAATATCTACCAACCGAGGGGAGCTTTCCAAACCATATTTTGAAGAGATGCGCGATTTAAGCCGATTTAAGTTGACATCTTTCTTTTCCTCGTGTGCTTTTAAAAGTTCTTGTATGATTTCACCAATAACAATCACACTACGCTCTTCGCGGCTCAAACCAACTCCTTCAAATAAATATTATTCAGTTTCAACGATTCAATGTTTTGTAAATTACTTACCCAACTTCTTTTTAGGCTTCATCGTAATAGTTTATTGTTTATACCCAATATTTTGAGGAAATTTTGCACAATAAATGAAAATTTTATACGAAGACAAATTGGGAATGTCTTGATATAAAAAGAAACAAATGTAAATGTCAAATGACACATGTTTAATATAGCGTTGCCAACTACACTAACCATAAAATATTTGTTTACAAAATTTGAAAATTTGTAGTAACTTAACATAATTAAGTTGGTAAGAATCTTAATAACTTTAGATCCAATAAATTGCAAGCCTGTATTAAAAACAGCTGATATTAGTGAAAAATTAGTTTGTTTTCTACATAGTTCTTGTATTTCTATTCCACAACAAATAATAACAAAAGCATTTGAAACAAGGTTTTAAATATAAATTGCACTAAAAATGGCGACTTGCCTTACAAAAGAACAGCTGGAGCTCAAGAAAATGTTGGAACAGATTGTTGATAGTGATGAAGATGAAGAGTTGGCAAAAGCGACTGAAGAGGACACATTTTCATTTTCGGTAAGTTTTTGAATATAGCTATGTATATCAGATAATATAATATTTCTCGCTTTTGTGTCATTGCTTATATAGAGCAGTACGGCCTGCTGGGTTTGTAACGGATACTATGGACCCAACTTTGATGAGCCTCTTTGCGGCACTTGTCATGCTTTCCTCTATAATACACAAGCCGCTGAGGAGGAATTACAGACGACCATTTCAGATGATGAGGACTCGGGCAATGACGAGCCACCTTTCAAAGACAAGCAAGAGGTGGACGAAGATGATGACGACGATGAAGATGTGGACGATGATGTCGACGACGTGGTAGAGGATGATGTAGACGATGAAGAAGGTGTTGGTATGCTAGATCCAGGCATGCGTAACGTACCCGTTATTGCGGCTCATGAAATGCAAATTGATAATATGGCGCCTGTGCCGGCAGATGCTGAACCAAGACGCTCACTTGAACGGGAAGGTGAACGTGGAAATATGGCGCTGTTACCTATACTTCGTCCACGTCCGTTAGCACCACGCTCATTGCCTGATTTTCTTGAATTGCTGAGTGAAAGACGAGCGAATGCAGGAGAAATTGTAGCGGCTGTAGCTGCACCGAATAATATACTAATGCTACCAGTTGAAATCATGGTAATAATTTTTTCCTATCTCGATGATATGTCAATGTGGAAGGCAAGTGAAGTGTGTAAGCAATGGCGTAGTATTTTAGAACAGAACACATCACAGGTGATGTGGATGCGTTACTTAAAAGAGCGTTGGCCACTATTTCAGTGCATTGTCGATGTGCCCAATTGGCTTAAACTATATAGTGCTTTAATGAATTCCTGCTTTTGTCGTACGTGCTTGCTGCAAATGGCTTTAAAATCACCACCACGTGCACGTCAAAATGCTATTCGTATGAACTTTTTACGCAACGATGCTCATCAATTGAACAGTCATGCAACGGAGGGTATAGACGCTATACCCCTAGATAAACAAAATACCTATTGGCAGGCAAGTATTTTAGGACCTACTGGCAGTCCATACGAAGGTGGAAAGTTCTTTTTATATATCTTCTTTCCGGAACGGTAAGATATAGTAAATGTAGTAGTTGATTGAGTATTGAAAAAAAAATGAAAATTTCTTATCTCCAGCTATCCGATGATACCGCCAACTGTACGTTTTTTAACGAAAATCTTACATCCGAATGTGTCACGTCATGGTGATGTGGGCATAGATATCTTCCAACACAATTGGTCTTTGGCTTTGAATGTTTCGAAAATTTTATTATCAGTGCAAAGTTTGCTCACAGATCCATACACAGAGGTAAGACCTACCCATGTCTTGCATAAATTATTTGGATTGTTAAAACCTTTACACTTACAGATTTGTATGGAACCCGAACTTGGCTATATGTATGAGCATAATCGTGCGCGTTTTGAAAGCTTGGCGCGCTCATGGACTTGGAAATATGCCATGTTCGAGTTAATGCCACCTTCTTAAGTAAATAAACCAATATAATATCATATATAGGAATACGAATACAAACACTTTTATTTAATTGGCGTTTTGTAACCGCTGAAGCGATTTTCGAATGCACACACTTTTACTATATTTAATATTATCGTGCACACTAAAAAGTGATGTGAATGGCTATATAACAAGCATTTACGAATTGTTTAATATATTTATTTTGAGCACAAAGAATTGTTTCCATTAAGTTAATTTATTTATGAAAGCATACACAATATTGAAATATGTTTGTTTTCGTTTTGGTTGTGCAGTATATCAATATGTAGTTAAGAATATGAGTAAGAAATGGACGAAAGAAAATGGTATAGAAGTAATGAAAATAATCCTGAATTTAGACAATCTCATTTTAATTTATTGTGCTTTTTCCTACATATATACATATATAATATTATTTTTAAATAACATTATTAATGACTCGATTATCAATAAATACATGCAGAATTTTATATATAAAGCAAAAATTTTTAATTTTTTGCATGGTAAATGTATTAATAGCAAATAAAGAATAAAAGAAATATATAAAAAAAAAAAACACATAAAACTAAAACGAATATTTTCTTAAACGCTAAAGTTTATACCAATATATATTTACGCATTTGCTATCAATTCATAAATCAAATATTTGTATTGAGCAAGCACATGCAATATATAGTATTAAGAATACTAATAGGATTTATGTAAGAGTATTTTACCAGCAACAAATGAAAGTAGTGATATAGTTGTGAGACTTACATATATACATGCCTACTAACATAACATACATTCAAGCATTAATAATTAATTCTAAATAAACATTATTTTGTTCAAAAAATTGAAGACTTTTTACTTACCATGTTTACAGTTTTAATTTTAAAAAATGTTTAAAAGTGTCTGCATCATAAAATTTTAAGCAATAGATTGGAACATGATAAAGCAGTATGGGAAGGAGATAAATACACAAATTCTTTGTATTCAAAACAAAGAAAACTCAAGTAGAAAATGGCATGAAATGATCTCATCGTCCCTCAAGAGTCTATATATTGCATCGCGATTCAGTGTTGGAAAGTTTTATCTCTTCTTAAAACTTTTATAAAAAACATTTACGCCTTTAAGCTTTTCAGATTTTTATTTTATTTGAATTCTTTTTAGTTAAAGCTATTCCATTTATTTTTCTATTTCTCTTTTTCTAAATTTATCTTATTGAATTTGCTTTATTTTCTTTTTCTTTATATTTTATTTCATTCAAATTCAATTTTTTGTTTTACATTATTCTAATTTATTTTCTTATTTGCATATTATTTTAATTGATCTTAATTTTTAGATTTGTCGACTTATTTGGTTTCATTTTATTTCATTTCATTTTATTTTATTTTTTACTCAATTTTTTTATTTTGTTTAAAGTATTATTTTATTTATTATAATAAAATTTATATTTTTTATTGTTTTATTTTTTATTTTTATTTTCTTTATTGGATTATGTTAAATTTCACTTTATTTTATTATATTTTAATATTATTTATTATTTTGCTTATATTAATCAAAAAATATTCCTCATACGCAGTGACAACTCATTACCCCAACACTAAAATTTTATTATTTTAACTAATTTATTTTTACTTTCCTCCATTGTTGCGTCGGACACCTGTGACATATGTGTGGTTTCCTCAAAAGCTTTTTCCTCTACAAAAAACAGTAAAAACGACTCTGTGGTGAGATATTCAACTGAGATGAGGAAAATCGCTTGATACACTCACTCTACACTCACTCTCTCTTCAATCGGCAGTCGAACGAAGTCAACACATTTTGGACGTGCTCCCCTGGAAAAGTCCAGCATCAAGTGAAAAGCAACAGCGCCATTTCAGCGATAACAAAGTTATACATACATACAGACAAGTACATGCAGACGCAAACACATACACAGAGCGATAAATGGGCCTCATACAGTTAGCTTGGCGCTCAGTTAGTCAGTTCGAATTTGAATTTGCGACGGGTAACAATGCGCGGAAGATGTTGCGTGTATTTCTTAAGGAAATATGTATAAAATACTTTGAGGAAAAAACATATTCTATGCTGAAATGTGGGTAAAAATGAAATGGTGAAAAAATATCGCCTAATTAAAAAATATTTGCCAATAGAAGTGTGTTTCAAAAATTTGACCATATAATAAATCACAAAAAAAATCAAAAAATCTGCATATGTGTATGTGTGCGCGAAAAAATGTGTGTCTGGAAAAAGTAAATCGTCAATTCTTCCATTACTTCGCTGTTTTCAGAACTTGTTGTTGCTATAGCAGACATACACACACCTACACATTTGAGACGATATGAAAAGGTGAAAATCGCACTTGAGCATTTTCACCAATCGTGCGAACAAAAATTGAGACACACACATGCTTATGTGAGTGCGAGGGAAAAACGCAAGGCTGAAAACGAACCAACGAACCAACGAGCGAGCGAACACACGGCGGATGCGGGCCGAGAAACGAGTCTAGTGCAACAAAAATAAAAACAAATGTATGAGCGACGGTGACATTAAGTGTTACAGGGCTCTCCGCCACCGGTGCAAACGAAGATATATGTGCATACGTACATGTATGTATATATGGAAATGTACATAGTAGGCATGAATGTTGTACACCCATACACATAACGAATGAATCGAGATTCCGAGTGCCAGTGCGACCAGTTTAAACGCGAATACGATTTTAGCAATGAGCGGTGCGCGCGCGTATTTATTTCCATACATATGTACCTATTCTTCTAAGCAAGCAAGCTTACATGTGCTTGTCTTCACGTTCGCGTATGTGTAGGTGTGCAAGTGTGCGTGTGTGTGTGCTTGCGTCTGCTAGCCAATGGTGTGTAGGTGTATGTGCGGTCATTTAAGCATCCTGCGGCAGCTGCTCGACTCAAGGATAAAAGCTTGAATGACTGAAACAAGTGTGAAAAACAAAAACAACAATGCCAAGTTAAAAGTTACCATATAAAGGGGTTGCCAACTTTCAACTGAAAATTTAAGACAAAATAAATATGCCTGTGATGAAAGTGAAATTCAAATGACATAAGAGAGCATTTCAACATATGTTAGAATATTTAATTTATTTTTTTATACATACATATGTAAATACATATGTAAATACATACAAACGTACTTACATAATTGATTTTGGTCCGGGAAAAGTTTAAAACCTAATTTTTTTTATTTATTTACAGTGAGAAAGGAATTGTCATGAGTCTTAGACTACAAAAAAAGTGATTTTTTTATTTTTTAATTAGTTTTAATTTGTTAGAAATATTTTCAATTATATATTTTATTTTTAATCATGCTTCTTTAAAATTTTATGTATCCCATTTAATTTGTTTATATTACTTTTTTTACTTTTTAATTGTTTCTATATATTTTCTTTTATAAATATATATTTATATTTTTTTTATTCATGCTTTTTATATTTTTCAACTAATTTAATGTATCCTATTTAAGAATTGTTACAATTAATTTTATTTCTTAGTTTTCTTAATTACTTTTAATTATATTCTTATTTTTTTTATTTTACCCTTTTTTAATACTTTTTTTTTTTGTTTTTTATTCCCTTTTTATTGTTTTATAACTATATTTGACTTTTTTGTATTTTTTAATATTTCTTATTTTTAAAACTTTTCAATTTATATTTTCTTATTTCTATAATTTTTCTTCCTTTTTATTATTTTTAAAATTAAATCTTTTACGTTTTTTCATAATTTTTTCTTTGAATTTAAATTAATTCGCTTTAATAATTTGTTTTTATAATTTTCATTTTTTATCTATTTTATTATTTTCATAATTTTTATATTATTTTGTTTAGTATTGTATATATTTTATTTATAAATATTTTTGTTTTTATATCTATTAATTTAAATTTTTTTGGTGGAAAAAAAGTTTTTAAAATTATAAAATGTATTCATTTTTTTAAATATTTCAATATTTCATGGTTTTTATTTTTATATTTTCAAGGTTTTGAATATTTTTTATATATTTATGCAAGATGTTTAAGTTTCTCGTATTTTTAATTATTTCATATAAAATGTGTGTATTTAATTTTTTTAAAATACAAGTTTTTTGGTCTCGTTTCATTTAAAATTTTCTTATTTCTTATTATATTTTTGAACTGTTATTATATTTTTTTATATATAATTTTTTTAATCAGGTTTTCTAATGGTTTTAATTTAATTAATTCATTATTTTGTAAGTTCAATTTTTTTATTTTACATTTTTTTAGTTAAATTTATGTTATTTTAAGCTATTTATTTTTGTTTTTAGATTTGCTTTGTATTTATTTTTTTATTGTTTCTTATTTTTTTCTTTTTTTCAATTTTAAGTTAAGCATCGTTTTATACTTTTTTCAGTTAGGAGAATTCAAAAAATATGAATACTCGAATTTAATGATTAATATTTTTGTTTTTTATCTATTGTACTTTTGACTTCAATATTTTTTTTAGAAAGTATTTATATATTTTTTATTATAGGTTTTTTTTTTTGAAATTTAATTGAATTCATATTTAAAATTCTTTTTTGAAAATAGTTATTCAAACGTTTTTTGCTCTACTGATTTATAGATTTTTTTTTGTTTAATGCATGAGAATATTAAAAAAAGTTAAATATGTAAATGCTATTTACTATTAAAAAATAATTGGCAATTAAAAAATACTCCATCCACCAAAATATTACTCATACGCCGTGACCTTTGTTTATTCATTTGCCAGTTGTTGCTGAAAGAGAATTAAATTTTTGTCTCCTTTTTATTTTATTACTGAAAAGCAAAGTAGTAGAAAAATATTATAAAAAAATGCTATAATCAGAAATATTAAAAAAAATCAATATATTAACTTTATTGAACTTCTTTTCCTTCAATGTCATTCTCCTTGGTGAACAAAAAAAAACAAAATTCAAAGAGTTCATTCAAGTCAAATCAAATCAAAATCAAATCAAATCTGCAAAAATCAATTTTCAAGTGTAGTTCTACGAGATATGTATTGTAGAAGTACAGATGTATGTTGTGAGGTACGTATAAACACTCTGTAAAACTAAATCGTACCAGCAAAACAGTCGCTATGTTGTTCTATTACTTCTCTTCAAATGTTTTCCTCGCCACAACCTGTGTGCTTCCGCTCTGGCAAACGGAACATACTTATGTACATCACTATGTTAGTATATGTAAAAAATTGTTAGCTTTGTGGCTCCTTACCATCCTCGTAATAACTCGCGTCTAATACTCACTCCGTTAACCTAGTCCCACACAATTTCAGTCATTCAGTGTGTTACATGTTCACACATACATATACACAAATCTATTTATGTATACAAAAAAAACTGTATGTTGTGTGTGTGTCTCGGCTCCAAAGGATATCAACTGGTAGAGTTGAAATTTGTATATGCCGATGGTGTGTGTTGCGGTGTGTGGTGCAATGGTTTGGTGAAAATCGGCTGGAATTCGTTAAACTGGGTGAGAGCAGCTGTAAAATTTACCCACTCACTTATACATACTCACTTGGAAAAACGAAATCGGAATAAATTTCATATTTCTCACTCTCTCTCTCTCTCTCTCTCTCTCTGTAAAATATTCGTGTCACCTTCGGCTGTGTAATAATATACTGATATGTACGCTTAGTGAAATTATTATTCGTCTATAAATGTGTGTTTACGTATATTGGCAAATTATTAATTGATGCATTAAGTTCAGAGTTCATACATATGTAAAGTATGTGTTTGAAATAGTTTTAGTTTGGTCAGATTTATTTCGACACAAATAGACATTATTTATAAGTAATATTTCCTTTACTGATTTTTGTTTGGGCTGTAAATGTGGGAATTTAATAAATATTTAAAATATATTTTTATTTTTTGGATATAAAAAAATAAGTATTTTTTTATTTTATTTTGGATTCCATCGACTACTTGATTTAACTTCCTTATGAATGAAAAAAAAAAAACAAATAAAAAGGCTCCAACGACTAAAAGATTACTCATACGCCGTGAACAATTTGTATGCCTTTATTATTTTAAACAAATATACCAAACTTTAAAAATTCCGCTTAGCAGAAAATCATTCAAGCATTGATATACGTATTGCATTAAGATTTTCCATATTTTTGAGCTTTTTAAGAGATTTAAAAACAAAATAATACTACAGTGATTGACATGAATTTTTCCTTTATCATTATAAGAAGGGTTTTATACGCCTGAAAGAAATTAATATTAATAAGTAAATATTTTATTTTACTTGTTTTATTTGATTTATCCTATTTTTGTTTGTTTTATTTAGTCCCTTTCTATTTTAGTTTATTTTTATTTTCAGTTTCGATATTATTTCAAAAATGTTTTTACTTTCCTTCTCATATGTACAATTCTAGAAATATATACATATATGTATTAATTATAATTTCAATTTAACTTTGTAAAACATGATAAAAACAAAATAAATATAAACAAATTCACATTAATTATTTTCTTAAGTGAGGTTTTTTGTCGCTTACTACATTTTAATTTTGTATGTGGAAAACTTTTTTCTAACTACTTAAATATAAAAAAGTAAAAAAAAAAATATATATCATATTATAAACAAAATAATATTAGTATAACTCAATAAACAAACTAAAAGTCTTGTAGTTTATTTTCTAAAATCTGATTAAAGTAAAACTATTCACAGAAGCCTCAGCTTTTCTTTAATAAAAGTGTGAATTATTTTCCCTCCTTTAATATTGAATAAATTTATTTGTTAGCTTCAACAAAGGGGTTTAAAGAAACCTTTTACATTTGTTTTTATTTTTTTTACGAAACCAAAAGAGTGAGCCCTGTGATATCTTCCAAACTTTGACCAAAATCTTTAAAAATTATTTTTAAGAAAGGCAAAAAAAAATCTTGGAATCACTTTAGCAGCTAATAAAAGCGCTAAATGTAACAGACTCAAAAAAGTTCTTTCCAAGAGCACCGTTATTCCAAATTATATCCAGATGTCCATTAAAGAATACCCTACATCTCGTGATGAATTGCTGGATATCCTTATGTACACCGATTTTCCAGGATGATCTACAGATTACCAACCAACTAACGCCAACTACGAATAAGCGAGCTCATCTCTGACACCAGCAACTCTGATGACAACCTTCTGCGAGGAGGAGTAAGCGAAAAAGTCATTCCAACCTTTTAAATCTCCAGGATTAGATGGTTCCTGCTGAGCTGCAGGGGTCTGAGGATCTCTTATCCACACTTCCATTTAACAATTTACAAAGCTGGTCTGCTGGGTGTGTGTATTTCCTAAGCATGGGCTAAGGGTAAAGTAATATTTATCCCAAAAGAACGCAGAGCCAACCACTTTTATTCAAAGAGCTTTCGGCATAACATTCTCATTGTTTTCCTCTTAAAAATCTTTGAAAGGTTGCTCGACAGCCATATATACCTAACTCCACCCCAAAAGTAAATCTGTTGATGCAGCACTACTTGATTAAGGCGGGTGCATCGAAAAAGAATTTGTCTTGAAGGAGTACACGCTACAATCAGATTGAATACCACGCACCCTTGAGTGACTTGTAGTATAAGAAACGCTATAACATCATCTCTTGTGCTCAATAATTTCAAGCAGGCAGGCACGAATAGTGAAAAACAAACGTCTCTACTCACAATGAACCATGCCCACGGTGTATCTTTTTCATCAGCAAATTATATGCTAAGTCTAATCTACGCCAAAAACAAACTCTAGATGGCTAAATGGAATTCACCACGAAAAGATCAAGTTGTCTTATGCTTCCAGAGCAGTTTTTCATTAGCATAACGGCAGGTGTAATAAAAGGTCATTGCTTAGTGGGACTTCAAGGAAAGAGCATGGGCTATCACTCTAATAATTTTTGCACAGCTGTGAGGGCAAAGAAGAGCCAAGGTCTGATGAACGCTACCACTGTCACTGCCTAGCCTCGGGCGAGACAAGTTTCTCTGGAAGCACCCCTTTGTCTATCTCTCTGAGCTAGCTTTAGCAGAAATTGGAAATGTCGTAAAGGTGAAGGTGATAGAAAGCTCACAGCGGTATCAAAATGGGATAAGATATTTGTTAGCAACGTTTTTGGACACATATTTTATAGACTATTTATAGTGACATTAACTTAGAGAAGAAATATTATTTTTAAATTAATAAAAGGAATTTACTTTTAACTGAATATAATTCAGCATGTAAAAATATAGTTCTTATCGAAAAATATATGAAAGATTTATTTTTACACATTTTTTGGAGGTTCAATAAAATTCTTTATCTATTTTATTTCATATATCGTAAAAAGTAATTTATTATTTTTGCAATATACGGCTTGAGTGATCTGTATTTCGCATTCTATTACATGACCGTCAATAGGAAAATACTTAACGCCAGTCAGGCAGTTTAAAATGTGAATAGTATTTATGGTCCTGATATTGTAAAAGTCAATCATGCAATACACAATTTTTGGTTCGTCTATTTCGTTCCAGTAATTCCACATGCAACCAATATCCAAAAGTTATAGAAAATTAATTTAAATAAAAAATTAAGTTATATTGCCCAAGAGCTAAGCATAAAAACGGCTTTGAACCAATCGAGAAAACGCTGGATGCACAAAAGAAGCTGCATGTATTAATGGGTGCCACAAGAGTTTACGAAAAAACCTCATCGACCGAATTTCCATCTGCAAATCGCTGCTCAATAGTTACAAAATCGACTCATTTCTGAAGCCGTTGGTGGCGAGTGATGAAAAGTGAATAACTTACGATGGCATACACATTTTTTAATGAATTAACGCCTGAAATTATACAGGAATACAAAGCAATTCACTGACCACGCTATTACGAAAATATCGGCTCAATAAATGCACTTAATAGTTGTTGGTTAATAATGAATTGAATAATACAACAACAGTTTACATGGTTGATGTTAGTTCGAACCCTACCAGAAGAAATCAGTTGAGGAGAAGTGGTGATCTCCGCAAAAGCTGTCACTTCTACCATTTTTCTTCGTTGTATAACAAAAAATTCAATTCATATAAACAAATATTTGACATAAATATAATAATTCTAGTTGTGATGAGAAAAGCCCTCAACCCAACGCAAAAATAATGGATTAATTTTTACTAGACCTCATATGCTATCATTTATATTTTTATATTGCCATTGCTACTCATACCTAGTATACCCTCCATCAGCCAAAGGACAAAAAAAGTATTAATAATAACTAAATAGCTTTTTGAAAAATATATTTCAGTGCATAGTGATTATTTTCTAAATATACATAATTCTCATTAATAACAATATAATCGCCAAGGAATGTGGAGAATTGAAAACATTACAAGTGAATTCCGAAAATAAAATTTTAACAAATAATTTGTGGATTAATCGGTGGAATTAAATATTGTTTTTAAATAAACAAATTTTACGCAATCAGATAATATTTTTAAATTTATTTTTATGTCTAGCTTCATGCGATTTCTCATGTGATCTCATTTGCAGAAATACTTGCAGATTCGCTTTGAAAATTAACCAACACAACACCCAGCGGTTGGTTGATCAATAAAAGTTTGAGCATATATGTAAATACATATAAATGAAAAAGAAATTTGAATAAAGTAGAAAAGAAATTCAAGAGCAAATAAGTAAAAAAGAAATAATTATAAAAGCATAAACTTACTCGAGTGCAAAGTGAGTGAGAGTAAACGCTAAAACCCCTGGGAGAGCTATAATAAACAAAAAGAAAAATGTTAAATATCAAAAACATTCACGCGGAGTTCAATTCAACCGTGAATACATAACTATTTCAATCTTTATATTTTTTAATATCAGCACCAAGTTCAATACAATAATAACAAATCATCAGCAAATATCAAATATGAAAAGTGAAATTAGCATAAACTAAAAATAAAAGGGAAAAAGAAAAAAACGTAAAAGCGGAAAGTGAGAAGCAACGGGCGGGGCATTTATGCATTTGTGTAAAATAACTAATCCGACAGCGTAGAAATGTGCAAGGATAATTGAAGGATAACGTTGATGCTGTTGAGTTTCGTTGTAATGTAGCAGCAGCATTGCTTTTGTACGCTCTCTATTCTGCCCAACATTCAGCATTCAACATTCACTTGTCAGTTTGGTGTCGTTCTCCACGGCTTCCAGCACACATTCAACATTCTGTGGAGAGCATCAACGTCACTCAGCCTTAACCTCAACAGCGCCTGAGCCTCAACAGCCACAGCCACAGCCTCAGCCTCAACCATTATTGTCCTTTGTTGTTTTACGCTTGAAAGCTGCGGTAGCGTTGCGCGTGAATCGCTTTTGTTTTCTACAAATATACGCACATTCATACATAATCCATGCATATAAATGAATAAATACGAGTAGCAAGACACAACAACATCAACCACTACAGTGTTAGCTATTTAGTTAATGTGGTTCAATGTAAATTTTCAGTGAAAAAAAGAGAAAAATATGAAAAGGCTTATGCCAAATTACCTACAACTACAACAATAATAACGGTTTAATAATACAAATACACAGCAACGGCAGCAGCAGCAGCAGCACAAGCAACAACAATTGAAATTTGCGTAGTAAACGCGTTGAGTGGGGATTAAAAAGAGGTAAGTGTGTAGCATTACATTTTTATTTATATGCGTATTGCATACAAATACTGAATATATAACGATACAGCTGGAGGTGAAATACGTATATGAAAGGGCATGCAAATTTTTTTTAAATTTAAATATTAAATTTAATCGTAGCTATTTTCATGTAAACTGAGCAAAAAAAAAAAAAATAAAAAAACCAAAATATTCTCTCTTTATCGTTCTCTTTCTCAACAAAAGTCTCAGAGAGGATGGAATAACAATCTGTTACAAATTGTTCGGTGTCAAATATCTGTTGCTATGTTCAAAGTCGAATCTAAACTAAGTGACGAAGTATATTGTATAGTTTACTCTGAACCTCTGGCTATCAACTTACCAATACGATAACTAAACCTATTACCATATTTTCTGACAGCCGGTCTGCCACTAATTCTCTCCTATGCAATGGTACCACCTCAGGCGTGACATTAAGATGTAGATAAATCTTAAGCACACTCACAAAACGTGCATGGTTTGGGTGCCTATTGATAGAAGCATCTGAGCGAACCGAATGGCTGAAGAGCTGGCCACAAACCTTTTTCCAAAGTAGTAAAGTATCTATTAAGACTAGCCTTCACCAGATAGGCCAGCAGCAGGATGACAGAGAGAAAAGTCATGTAATGTTGGCAGACTAATCTGGCCATTGGCCGAAGTGAACAGAACTTAGTCTTTACTCCTTCTAAACAGGATTTCCATAAGCATAATAACTGACATAATGACCGGACACTGTACCATGGGGCATCATATTGGAAGGATGGGCTGCTTCACCAACACTTTATGTTGCAGCTGGAAATAGGGAGCTGAGAGGAATCTCTTTCAATATACATAAGTATCACAGCAGACCGGTGGACTTAAATGCGCTGGATAAGATTAGAAGATCAATAAACATTTAACGGGATTTTTCTTGAGCGTTTTTCCTAATTGATCAATCAACTAACTGCAGATACTCTTAGTGCCAGCTATGCTTTATAAAGTTATTACGCCTAAGAGTAATCTAAGAATAATGTTAGTGATCTTGGCTTTGAAAATTCGGCTTTCGATTAGTCCATTATTCATATAGTCCCAAAAAAAGCTAAGATGAATAGCATAATTTTATTAAATATTTATAAGTTGGCTGACGCACTATGAAAAGTGCTACTTGTCCTCATAACTGAGAATATTAAAAAAACACCTCTCTTGTAACGTTGAGAAACTTCAAACTTAGTTGTATTTCCTTCAAATCCACTGGCGATCAACTCAAGACTAATCGGGCTTCACTAATATCGCTTACAAATGTGTTAGACTGTGTTCTCCTCTATCAATGTTCGAAAAGTGGCAACGAGTGAACAATTATTCGAATCTAATGGAAATGGAGTTATACTCCATTAACAGTGCAGCAACGAATATCACGAAATTTCCACCTCAGCATACGTTTCTCTATGATACTAAATTCTGGCATAGCGACAACTTCTTTTCATGCCCACAAAAGTGGTTTGAAAATCGTCTAAAATATCTCTGTTTTCCAAGATTAATTTGTGAGATTAACAGTGTTTATAACCACACTGATAGAAACTATTTGAACGAAAAAAAAGATTAATCCGAAAAAATGCTGCTAACCGCAAGGTTTATTCATTTATATAAAATTAGCTTACAAACAAAAGCGGATAATGGAATTACGGTTTCTTGTCTCCCTTTAATTTGGGAAGTCCGAACAATAAGACTTCAAATCATCTTTTGGAATTTCTTGCATATTTCCTGTCGCTGACCTTATGAAGTGTTCCTGATTTCTCACAACAAATTATTTCCGCATCTCTTTCGGACTCTCAGTAACCTTCAAATACGGTGCGAGGCTTTTAGTGGATCGTAATATTGCTGCCCGAATTAAAAAATGCTCGTCTAATTGTGAAAGGAGAGCATAATGAAAGTATTTGATCAGCAGTTTTTGGTCAGTTACTTAAGCTCCACTTTGGACAGCATATTGGTTTTGTAGTCTTCCATTATTGCTGTACAGTATTCAGGTGGAAAGCTGGTTGAATTTTCGAATTTTTTCCTTCCCTCTACTGACGTTGCTCAATTTTTTCAATTTCAGTACCAAGGTGAAAACCAAAGCTATTTCAATAATTCTAATTTTAAGTGGAGATTTTGATTAGAACTTGATTTACCAGATTTATTGGCTAAACTTGACAAGAAAAACTACCTGCAATCCAAAATTATTTTTTTAATATTTTATTAAAGTTTCCAAACGTTTATTGTCGTTTTCGTTAATAGAAAGTTTCCAATGCGGTGCACAACTTTCCCTGGTATAGAGCTCTTCATAATCAAAATGCCTAGATGCGGTCGTCGCCCGGCAGAGAATGTCAACGGCTCTCAGTGCTTTCCTGATATGAGATTAAAGCTGCTCTCAAAAATCCAGGAAAAAGGTGCCTGCATATGTTTTGATATGGTCATGAAAAGTACAAAGACTTCTGTATTAGCAAAGTCAGCTTCTAATTTTTGTTAATTTTTGGGCGATTTCTCATCTGAATTATGATATGTAAAGATTTTTGAAATATATCTGATCCGCATTAGACTATATATGTTCAGGTTCATTTATAACGTAATTTTGTGTGATGGGCCTTTGACACGACTTTTACTATCTACATTTTAATCCACGCACTACATAACTTATTGCTTTTTTGGGGGGTAAAGACATTTTGTCTGTCTCTTGTTCCAATTGGTGGGCTTCTATTGAGGATAATTCATCATAATTCTTCACCAGCGAAATCCTTCGTCAGTAAACAGGGTTTCATTTTTCCTAACCAGAAATGGATCGATTTTGTTAGGATTCAGCAGCGATTGGCAGGCATTTCGATTTCCATTATTTCATCGGTTTTTCTACAGTTGGCCTTCCACGTTGTGAAGCTTCATAAAAATTACCAGAACAAAACCCAAATTGTGTATAATTGAATTTTACTATTCACATGCTCGGCTGCCTGACTTAAATTTTCGCCTTTATCGAAGACAAATTTTTGTATAAAGCACATTTTTCCTTTGATGGTGCTGATCTGTGACATGAGCTCAAACACTCTGCCATTATCTTTTTTGTTCGAAATATGCTTTTCGAAGCCATCTTGTGTAGTCCAGCCGCACTTATAAACGTAATTTAATTGTTAAAAAAAAACATTTAAAAACTCCTCTTTAAATTTATGGCATAATTTTGATCCATTCAATGAAAAAAAAAAAACATTTAAATTAATGTGTCGCTTAATTCAATTAGTTGTTATCGATAATTAATGCGTTCAGTGATACCATCCATCCAACATTTATTTTAAAAAATTCACTATAATTTACGTGTTACATTTTTAATATAAATGTTCATCGAAAAACTATTTACACACAAATATTTCTACATATGTTGGTTAATTTGTGTACAAAACCACTTTCATTGATTACACATATATAAATATGTAAAATATTTCAACATTAAAAATGCATTGATTTTCAATTTGTCAGTATGTACATACATATATACGTATTTACATACAAACACATACATTATCACCCATGCATATTGAATACGTAATGAAAAGTTTAATAATTTGCATTAATTGATAATTGAGACCACGCGCAGATGGTGAGATTTTTGGCTAACAACAACAAAAAATAAACAGTATAAAAACTATTTTGTGTAAACAATGGCAATAAAAAATTGGGAAAAAATAGAAAACAGTGCACAGAGAATAATGAATAATAAATTATATATTCATTCATAAGGCTTGTGTGTAAGTGCGAGTGTCTGTCTGTGCCGTTGGCGCAACGCAAAGGTTGTGGTTACCATTGAGTAATTGAAAAAATGTAGAATTTTTTATTGAATTATATATGTGTATATGTATATGTATGCATTTATTTATAAATAATTGTTTATATGTATATTCGCGCATATACCTTTAACTAAATTAAAATTTTTATATTTGGGAATACATATGTATGTAAGCATAGAGGTTTGCATCTTTTTGCATACTTTTATTTTATTTTGTGTTTACTGCAAGAGGACGATAATTAACGCTACTACAACTTGATCATATCATCTCACATAATTAGCTAAAAGTTAAACGTATATCCGCCAGCTATAGAGTTTGGAAGTTTAAGTAATTGGTACATATATACAAGTTAAAGCCACATTAAAAAAATTAATAGACTGAAATAAGTACACATATATTGACTATGCTTAGATTAAATTGAGTTCGATTTGCTCAATATAAAATATATTTGAAAAACTTGGTCAACATTGTAGTTCCATTTTGTAAGCCACGCAAGCGAAAATAAACGGATACAGATTCATACGTTTAGATATGTATGTTGAGCATTGCACCCACATTTATATTTCTATATAATAATTCCATAACGGTGAAGTTCTAATGCTGATTAGTTAAAGTAACTAATTAATAAAGCAAACAACTAAACATGTGGGATATAAAAACATTATTATTTTAACAATAACTACATGACCAAAATAATTATAATAACAACCATATATTGTTTGCATTTAAAATTACAAACGATGTATTTCTGATTTAATGAAAAGTAATTGATTTGAAAGGGAAAAGTGCATTTAAAAACTCATTAAATAACCTAGAAGCAAATGCAATGAGCGACTTATTAGTCAAATAAAAAAATATTAATACACTAAAACAACAACAAAATAAAATAAAACAAGAAGAAAAAAAATGTATTGAACCAAATTAAAATATATATATTAAATAAAATCAATTCAATTACATTAAAATACAATAAAATTAAATAAAACAATATAAAATAAAATAAAATAAAATAAAATAAAATAAAATAAAATAAAATAAAATAAAATAAAATAAAAAAAATAAAATAAAATAAAAATAGTTTAATTTAATTCTTGTGTACTTAAGTTAACTCCATTATTTATTTTTTGTACGTATGATATATTTATAATCTACCTTCAACTAAAATCCGTTCTTCCTGTTAAATTCCCATAAATATTT